CGACCTTGCAGGGGGGGTGTTGGGCACGACTTGCCCGGTGGCGAGGGGGGGGGCATCGGGTAACTCGACCTTGCACGGGGGGGTGTCGGACATGAGTTACCCGGTGTCCCCCGGGAGACATCGGGTAAGCGGGGGGTGCGCTCCACGCCCCCCACTTACCCGGTGTCCCCCGAGGGGCATCGGGTAAGTCGACCTTGCAGGGGGCGCGTTCGGCATGATTCTGTCCCGCGCGAGACACCGGAGTTACCCGGTGGTCCCCGGGGGACATCGGGTAACTCGACCCTGCAGGGGGGGAGTCTGGATATGAGTCACCCCGTGGTCCCTCGTGGGACATCGGAGTCATCGGAGTTACCCGGTGGTCTCCGGGAGACATCGGGTAACTCGACCTTGCAGGGGGTGGTCTGGGGACCAATTACACCATAACCCCGTGGGACATCGGAGTTACCCGGTGGTCCCCGTGGGACATCGGAGTTACCCGGTGGTCCCGGTGGGACATCAGCCCGTGGGACATCGGAGTTACCCGGTGTCCCCCGTGGGACATCGGAGTTACCCGGTGGTCCCCGTGGGACATCGTCCCGTCGGACATCGGAGTTACCCGGTGTCCCCCGTGGGACATCGGAGTTACCCGGTGGTCCCCGTGGGACACCGGACCGTGGGACATCGGAGTTACCCGGTGGTCCCCGGGCGACATCGGGTAACTCGACCTTGCATGGGGTAGTCTGGGCATGAGTTACCCGGTGGTCCCGGTGGGACATCGGAGTTACCCGGTGTCTCCCGTGGGACATCAGAATTACCCGGTGGTCCCCGTGGGACATCGGCCCGTGGGACATCGGAGTTACCCGGTGTCTCCCGTGGGACATCGGAGTTACCCGGTGGTCCCCGTGGGACATCGGCCCGTGGGACATCGGAGTTACCCGGTGTCCCCCGTGGGACATCGGAGTTACCCGGTGGTCCCCGTGGGACATCGGCCCGTGGGACATCGGAGTTACCCGGTGTCCCCCGTGGGACATCGGAGTTACCCGGTGGTCCCCGTGGGACATCGGACCGTGGGACATCGGAGTTACCCGGTGTCCCCCGGGGGACATCGGGTAACTCGACCTTGCAGGGGGGGTCTGGGCATGAGTTACCCGGTGGCCCGCCGTGGGACATCGGAGTTACCCGGTGTCCCCCGGGGGACATCGGAATTACCCCGTGCTCCCCGTGGAACATCGGCCCGTGGGACATCGGAGTTACCAGGTATCCCCCGGGGGACATCGGAATTACCGGGTGGTCCCCGTGGGACATCGGACCGTGGGACATCGGAGTTACCCGGTGTCCCCTGGGGGACATCGGAGTTACCCGGTGGTCCCCGTGGGACATCGGCCCGTGGGGCATCGGAGTTACCAAGTGTCCCCCGTGGGACATCGGAGGTACCCGGTGGTCTCCGTGGGACTCCGGCCTGGCCCCTCTTGGGGCCCTCTTAGGGCCCTCTTGGAACCCTGGTTGGCCCATAAGATGGCTCCAAGAGGGCCCTCAGAGGGCCCCAAGAGGGCCCCAAGAGGGCTCCAAGAGGGCCCCAAGAAGGCCCCAGGAATTATGTACCAACCCAGCGGCCGCTGGTACAGAACTCCTGGGGCCCTCTTGGGGCCCTCTGAGGGCCCTCTTGGAGCCCTCTTGGGCCCCTGGTTGGCCCTAAGAGGGCCCGAAGAAGGCCCCAGGAATTATGTACCAACCCAGCGGCCGCTGGTACATAACTCCTAGGGCCCTCTTGGGGCCCTCTGAGGGCCCTCTGAGGGCCCTCTTGGAGCCCTCTTGGGCCCCTGGTTGGCCCTAAGAGGGCCCGAAGAAGGCCCCAGGAATTATGTACCAACCCAGCGGCCGCTGGTACATAACTCCTAGGGCCCTCTTGGGGCCCTCTGAGGGCCCTCTGAGGGCCCTCTGGGCCCCTGGTTGGCCCATATGATGGCTCCAAGAGAGCCCTAAGAGGGCCCCAAGACGGGCCCAAGAGGGGCCCAAGAGAGGCCTCAGAAACCGCTAGTAGGTGTCATCGAACAGCGCGTCTGGATGAGACCTCTCAGTAGTCTCTGGGGCGCGTCTTGGAGCCCTCTTGGGGCCCTCTGGAGCCCCTTGGGTGCCCCAAAAAGGTTCCAAGGGACATCCGAGGGGGTGGATGGGGGAGGTGGTGGAGGGGGAGTTGTGGAGGGGGAGGTGGAGGGGGGGCGGAGGGGGGTGGTGGAGGGGGGGGTGGAGGGGCGGTGGGGGGGTTGGTGGAGGGGGGAGGGAGAGGGAGAGGGGTTTAATTAGGAAAGTGGAAAAGTTTTGACGACCACGACGACGACGACGACGACGACGACGACGACGACGACGACAACCACGATGACGAGTGGGCGCCTTGGAGTTCTCGTGGGCCGTCGTGGAGGCGCCTTGGGGGCCTCTTGGACCGTCAGGAGGCCGTCATGGGGCCGTCTTGGAGGCCTCTCGGGCGCTCTTGGGGCCATCTTGGGGGTCTCTTGGGCCGCATTGGGCCGTCGGCAGGCCGAAAACGTCAAAATCCGTCAAGAGCCCACGGGAAATCAGCTGTCTTTGTCTCTTCGGGCCTTCCTGCAGGTCCCCTTGGAGGCTTCTTGGACTGCATTAAAAGGCTCTTGGGGGCCTTTGGGGCCGTCCTGGGCCGTCTTGGGGCCATCTTGGAACGCCTTGGGTGCATCTTGGGCCGTCTTGGAGACATGTCGGGGCCGTCTTGGGCTCTCTTGGGGCAATCCTAGCCGCCTTTGAGGCATCTTGATGGCCATCTTGGGCCATTTGTGCCGTCTTGGTGGCGATGTGGGCCACACCTTCTGGTCCTTCCGAGGGGCAGGCAGTCTGGGCCGAAGGCCACTGGGAAGGGTTTGAAAATAACAAGAGCAGCAAAATGTCTGGCAAGCCGTCCACCCCTGTGGCAAGCACAGGGGGCGGCGGATCCAAGACGCCTACGGCGAATCACCGCCGCCCGCAGCCTTTTTGAGAAGCGCCTATGTGGCCAAACGTTGGGCCCCAGCTTGGCAAAACTATCTGATTATGTATTCCCCCAGCCGCTCCGGCAACTCTTCGGGGAACACTCGAGGTAGGCTGAGGGGGAGGATCAGGAGAGGGAGGAGGAGGAGAAGGAGGAGGAGGAGGAGGAGGAGGCCTCTTGGGAGCCTCTTGGGGCACTCTTGTGGGGCCTCCTGGGGGCTTCCTGGGGGCCTCTTGGAAGCCTCTTGGGGGCCTCCTTAGGCCTCTTGGGGGCCTTGGGGGCGTCTTGGGGGCCTCTCCTTGGCCGTCTTAAAGCGCTCCTGGCCCGTCTGACGGGCCTGACGCCGTCGAAAGCCGTCTTGGGGGCCTCTCTGAACCGATGTGGGGTCTTCTTGAGGCGCTTCAGGGCCGTCTTGGAGGCCGTCTTGGACGTCTTAGAGGCCTCTTGGGGAGGAGGAGGAGGAGGAGGAGGAGGAGGAGGAGGAGGAGGAGGAGGAGGGGGATGAGGAGGAGGAGGAGGAGGAGGAGGAGGAGGAAGAGCAGGAAGAGCAGGAAAAGGACTGGGAAAAACAGGCGAAGAGGGAGTAGGAAGAGAAACAGGGAGGAGAACCAGGAGAAGGAGGCAGGGGGTGGGAGCGAGGAGACACAGTCGGAAAACGAGAGACAAAGTCGGAGCAACCCCCAACCCCCAGAGTCTGGGGGCGCCCCAGAGTCTGAACAACACCTTTTCAGATCTTGTACCTCGGTCCCACTGTATTGCATCATCCTCCACACACGCTGCCGCAGCTCTCGACTACACGTGGGAGCGACCCTATGCTAGAGTGACCTTTGGTGCGCGGCTCCAGGGCGCCCGTGGGGGCCCAACGCAATCGTGCAAGCCAGCGTTGCCGCGCCGCGCCGCGCCAGGTTCAGGGGGCCACATGCGAGCCCTACCCCTACCCCCCACGATTTCTGAAGGGGAGGCTGGGGTTCACCTCGTTCGGGAGCTCCCGAACGAAATGAACCCCACCCTCCCCCTCAGAAATCGTGGGGGGTAGGGGTAGGGCTCGCATGTGGCCCCCGAAGGTTCTCAGGGGAGGAAGGGCTCCCCTCCTCCCCCTGAGAACCCGGTGCTGCGTTCTCGTCACGCCGGGTGTCTTCGCCCGGCTTCCGGCCCCGGGGCCAGCGCGGGTCGATCTGGTTCGAGATATGCGACATGCTGCAGAAAGATTGGGCTCGGGGCTCCAGTCGTGATTCTTCGCGGTCTCGCACTTTTCGCAACATAGGATTTCAGGGCCCTTCCCCGTCCTGCTTCACGCTCCCCCGCCCATCCCCCTTGGCACCATGCGTCCCTCCGTCCTTCCACCCCTCTGCCGATGGCAGCCCTGGGATATCTAGGGTTGGCCAGGTGTTCGGCCCAATGACCTCGGAGACGGGGACGAGGGAGAGCGGAGGGAGGAGGAGACGACATAACCATGGTGTCTGTCCACAGTTTCGCCCGCCGCGGCAGGCAAGAGGGCAGGCAATTCGTTGCGTAGGAAAGCGCCCTCTATATGGCAGCTGCGCCACGGAGGGGGGCCTCAACCACTGGCGGTTCGCCGTGAGAGGGACGGCATCTCGACCATGGTGCATGGCAACGAGAAGGTGCCATAGGAGGATTTCAGCGCGTTTGGAGGACGGCGGCGGATGGAACCCCAGGGCGGCCAGAAGGAGACGGCGGACGGAGCGGAGAGGAGGAGGAGAACAGACAGGACTCACTTCAAGGGACTCTGAGGAGCAAGGTAATGAGAGCGCACGCAGAGCCCAGATAAGTACACTAAGACACAGGAGGCTGGGAACCTCGAAGAGGGAACGAGACCTCCTGCGCTGCCCCAGCACGGGAGGTCTAAGACCTCAAACTACAATAAAGCAGAACAAGAAAGCACGGAGCCATGCTATCGGTCCAGTGCTACTCGTACTCCTCCTCCTCCTCCTCCTCCTCCTCCTCCTCGTGCTCCTCCTCCTCCTCCCCTCCTCCTCCTCCTCCTCCTCCTCCTCCACCTCCTCCTCCTCCCATGCGAATCGGCTCTGCTCGGGCGTAGCTCATCGCTTCTCGCTGGGCAAAGCCTTTGGCTTCGTGATGCATGTGAGATGCCATGGCGGTCGCCACGAGGCATTCGTGCCGCGGCAGCTCCGAACCCCAACCCCAACTCCCGTACCCGCCTCAGGCTCAAGATCGGCTCTGACGGAGAGTCCCGCCGCCTCCACACGGCATGCATAGCCATGTGGCGACGCAGCGGGGTCAGCGGAGATGGTGGGAAAACTCGTCTGGTGCCAGGCATCCCCACACGCACTGATATCTCTGGATGCCTACGTGCATGCGGTGAGAGGCGGCCCATGCACTCGCAAGGGTCTCAAGTATACTCCACTGCCAGCTGGGCTTCAGTGCATGCAAAACTTCCATACATAGAGCCCAACGCTCCTCCAACCCCCGAGGTCCACCACCAAGGTAGATGCCCCAAACAATGAACCCTCGCAGAAATGTGGATGCAAACGTGCCAGGACAGGCATACGGAAAGAGAGGTCTAGAACATGTTCGCTGTGGGTGCGGCTGCTTGTCGTCTACTATTGCTTGGCTAGTGTGCTCCCTCGCCCCACTGACCGCCGCCAGCCATTTGTCAGGTCGTGCGAACCGCGGCGGCGGTAGACGCGCACGCTCAAGATACTAGGCAATGGAGAATGGCCGTTTCCAGCACACGGCCGAGTACATGCCGAGTTGGAATCGCACAGTCGCGGCATGGTCCTCTGCGAATTGCCTGAAACATTGCAATGCTGAGCGCCAGACCAGTCCTCAAATGTGATAAGAGGTCTGCCAGGCACTTCCCCAGCCAAACATTTTAAACTGGAAGGGGCGATGCTCATATATGCGGGCCATGCGCGCGTGCGAAAAAAAGGCGGAACCTGTCCGGCGGGAGTCTCATCAATTTGTGCACGGCCTGGTGTTCGAGCTTCCAGATCATTGTTGGGGTGGGAAAAAGCTGGGCGAGATATGAGAGAGGGACAAGGCAGTGGAATTATACAAAATAGCTCGGGCACTCGGTGCAGCATTGGTCGACGGCAATGCCGGGGTGCGCGCCCATCATTTTTCCGCCGCGAGGCCCCACATCCAACTCAAGGCGGCCGCAGATCACAGTTCGACCCTGGGGCACATCGACAGTCCAGCAATTCTACAACCTTGCCATGCGGGAGCGAGGCGCTTGAATTCTCTTCTCATCTGCTCTAATGCGGAGTCTGCGCACTCCGTCCAGAGGGGCACTAGCACGCATTTCAGGATCTAAATCGCAGTAGTGTATGAACCGAAACCTCCTGGAAGGGCCCAACAACTTCATCTAGATCCCGAAGGCGAGGCATCGCTATCCCAGCGTCATCCGCGCACCCCCCAAGAGAACCTACGCGGCGCCTCGCCTGCGGTCGAAGGGGAGCTGCTGTGAGAAGCGTCGAAGCCGGATTCGTGGCCGGCGCCCAGGAAAAGCTCGAGAGTGGGCAAGCCTGGAGGACCCCAGGGTACTGGTGGAACAGGAAAACAATCTGACCTTGAATGCGAGCATAGCCCCTGGGAAGACGGCACAAAACACGAATTACATTGATGGGGCCCTCGCGAAGCCCGAACCTGCAAAAACCTGGAAGAGCCACTGATGGCCCGAGCTCGGTAAGGCGGCCTCAATGTCGCTTGCGGCGACAGTGGGGAGGCAGTCATTCGCGTTCTGGTTGAGGCTTGCTCTCCGCGTTGCTCGAGGTTCACGATGTTGGCCAGGGGCTTTCTGCTTGGAGCGAAACGTTGTTGGATCTCATCTGCTTCTCATGCGCTACTGTTCGGAGCTCTGTTCACAGCAGTCGCCATTTTCGCGCCCACGATTCGGAAGGAAAGCGGTCGAACCTTGCCCGGGGCACGGGCGCGACCTCGGGCGTCTTCGGGGCCGGAGCCGTCGGGAAGGACCACGAAGAGGCTGCTGTCTGACTCCGCGGGAACAGGGTGCCCCGCGAAAAGCTGGCGCATGAGCTCGAAGAGGATCGTAATTTCGGGGGTAGCTTTCCTGGCCGAGTACCTGAGATTATCTGGTCCAGGAGCGGATCTGCGGGCAGACGTCGAGGCCCTCTCGAGATCTTGTTCTAAGGGTAGCTGAGCGGGGATGGCCAGGATAGGGAGGTGGGGCGCGGCCCGAGAACCCGCGCAAGCGCGCGTCGCCAGCGCGACTCGCTCCAAAAACCGGCTCCCCAGCGCGCGCAGGGCAGCTGGCGCGCCAGGGAAATCTCTGGCGAGGGAAGCACCGGCACGCAAGCCTTCAGGATGAACCCCGGCGAGGACCAACCTACGACCCTGGGAGGCGCACAGTAAGGCCCGTCCGTCTCTTGCGTTTCCTGGAGGCCCCACGTTTGCGTTTTGCTGCCGCGCCTGCCCCCGAGCCACCGATTTGCATGCCCTGCTGACAGCGGTCCTGGCCTCCTTCTGCAAGAACTCGTCGTTCAGGGTGTGCATCTGCTGCCTGAAAGAGTCGGAGTTGGTGGTGG